CAGATGACCGGATGGAAAAGGGGGTCAGCACCAGGGATCGGTGTGTGGGACTGTGCCTATGATTATCAGCTGTGCGGTTTTGCACCCAGGGCTCTGTGTGAGGGTGGGAGCTGCTATGTGTCTGGGACACAGCCCGAGTGCTGGATGGCTGTGGTTAAGCCGTGTTTGTTGCTGTGGTTGTCCATCTGGCTGTGGAGTGGTGTGTATAAGGCTGTGTCTGAAGTTATGGAGGGAGGTTGTTACATCGGCAAAATTGTGTGAAGAATGGTTGTGGTTGTCAGGATGACTCTTGATGAGCCTGTGTGGTTGTGAGTTCAACCATTTATGATGTTTGTGAGTGAGGTGTGAGACCAGGTATGGTGTGACATACACATGCACATAGAGATTGGCCGGGTGCAGTGGCTCATACCTGTAATCTCAACACTTTGGAAGGCTGAAGTGAGGGGATTGCTTGAACCCAGGAGTCCTAGACTAGCCTGGGAAATATGGTGATACCCCGTCTCTACAAAAAACCAAAAATGAGCTAGGCATAGTTTAGTTTTTTAAAAAATGATCAAGTCTGTGGTGCACAAAATGTACAGGACCCTTTATGTGATCGTGCGTGTGCAACCTGTGCAGAAACCGCTGGGCTCCTTATGGTGGATGCAGTGGCTTGAGTGAAGAGTGTGAGAATGTGGCATCCCTCTACGCATATTCACAGCTGTCTGTTCCTACTGAATGCAAGTATTCATGAGTGCATGGCGTGTAGGTGTGGGAGTCCCTGCTGGCCAGGCGTGGAGGGGGAGGAAGAGGAAGTGGGGAAACTGGTGAGGGATCCACAGTGAATCCTGGGAGTGTGTGCATCTGAAGGTGCGTTGGGCACATTGTGGGGAGTTGGGCTGTGTGAGTTTGGGGGACAATGAGTGTCACGGTCAAGTGCAAGGAGATGGTCTGAATGTGAGTGATTTGGGGAGTGGGAGAGACAGAGTTAGTTTCTGCGTGGGTTGGCTTTTTTCTCTTTTTTTTTTTTTTTTTTTTTGAGAGGATCGCCTGTCGCCCAGCACTGGAGGGTGTGGTGGTGGGATCTGGCCGTCACTGCTACCTCTGCCTCTTGGTTCCAAGCGCTTCTCGTGCCAGCTCCTGAGTACGCTGGGACTACAGACCATACCATCAAACAGCACCTGGGCTACGTTTGTACTTTTAGTAGATGGGGTTTCACATGTTGGGCCCGGCGTCTCAAACTCCTGCCTCAACTGATCCACCTCACTTGGCTCCCAAAAGCTGCGATCACAGGCTGAGCACTGTTGCCCCCGGCTTGGCTTTTTATTCTCTAAGAGAATATACTGGTGTTAGGGGCGGATTTTGCAAAAGGGAGTGGTTAACAGATTGTTTTGAAAGAATAGTGTAATGTGTGCGCCTAAGTCAGTGTGTTTTTAGGTTGTATTTCTTTTTTTTTTTTTTTGAGACGGAGTCTGGCTCTGTCCGCTCCAGGTCTGGGAGTGAGTGCGCATCTCGGCTCACGCACAGCTCCGCCCACCCGGTCACTGCATCTCTCCTCCTGCCTCAGCCTCCCGAGTACTGGGACAACAGGCGCTCCGCCACCAATCGCTCCGGACCTACTTTTTCGTGTATTTTTTAGTAGCAGACGGGTTCACGTGTTACCAGGATGGTCCTCGGATCTCCCTGACCTCGTGATCCGCCCGTCTCGCCTCCAAAGTTGCCTGGATTACAGACTTAGCCACCCGGCGCCCGGCCCCGTCTAGGTTGTATTTCCTAAAAGGAAAATGTAGGTGTTTGTATTGAGTTGTATATTTAATAGAAGTGAGTACGTGTTGTTATTTCTAAGAGGTGAATGTATATTATGTTGTCTTTCCTTTTCTTTCCTTTCCTTTTCCCTTTCCCTTTCCCCTTCCCTTCCCTTTCCTTTCCTTTTTTCTAGACTGGGTCTTACTCTCTCGCCCAGGCTGAGTGTAGTGGCACTATCATGGCTCACTGCACCTTCAACCTCCTGGGTTCAAGCGATCCTTCTACCTCAGCCTCCAGGAACACCACCACCACACCCGGCTAATTTTTTT